ATGGCTTAAGGGTACTGATTTTTCAATCAGGGTATGGCTTTCAGGATTCTACAAAGCCAGAAAGAGACTGGGGCTTTCAGACTTTCATGCATTGCTTTATAGAAAGTTAGTTTTCTTCCTAATCCCTTGATTTGAAGGTGAAGGAGTTTGTTATATAATTTTAATCAATGGACCTATTTGCTGAAGTGCTTTACTTTAAGTTAATAGGTTCTCATTAAACTTACTTATATCCTTTTCAGCATCTTGTCCCTATTATCTAACAAGTTAGTCCTGCAACATACTTAGAATTATTACTGTTGATTTCCTGGTAGTACCTTCAGGTGGTGACTAATTGACCAGAATGACTTAAAGGGTGTTTCAGTTTTGGAATCTGCATGGATGTTTCTTATCACGTTTCCTTCTTTGACAGGGTTATTGGCCTAGCAGATGAGGGGAAACAGTAAATGTGATATATCTTGATTTTAGTAAGATATTTAACACAGTTCCACATGACATTCTTATAAGCAAACTAGGGAAATGTGGTCTTGATTAAATTACAACAAGGCGGGTGCATAACTGATTGAAAGAGTGTACTCAAAGAGTAGTTATCAATTGTTCACTATCAAACTGGAAAGATGTATCTGGTGAGGTTCAGCAGGTGTCTCTGCCGGGGCCAGTAATATTCAACATTTTCATTAATGACTTGGATAATGGAATGAACAGTATGCTTATAAAATTTGTGGATGACACCACGCTGGAAGGGGTTGCAAGCACGTTGGAGGACAGGATTAGAATTCAAAATGACTGTGATAGATTGGAGAATTGATCTGAAATCAACAAGATGAAATTCTGTAAAGACAAGTACAAAGTACAAAGTACTACATTTAGGAAGGTCTAAGTATACTTGGGACTGCCTCAGCATAGGAGTGAGACTAGATGACCTCTCAAGGTCCCTTCCAGCTGTGATTCTATTTTTCTTTGTACACTGTCTCAAAGGAAGAGCAGAAGCAAACAGAAAAACAAACCAGCGTAGCAAAATTCCAGCATTGAGGGTATCCAGAAAAAATAGTCTTGAATTCATAGAAGAGGTATATCAGCAAACCTCTGACACCGCTGATCAACATGTTGGTAGTTGCTATGTTCTCAAGCTGGATGACACCAAAAGGCTTTGAGAGACTCTGCCTGTCATAACTGAGACTAAACCTGAGAAAAACTTGACCTATATAAAAATTTTGCTGCAGAAAATTTTAGGATGGGAGAAGCTGTACTAGTCACCGTGCTTTACCTCAGCCTAGGTACTTACTATCAGCTAGTAAGGGAGTGTGACAGCTTGACATTAATACTTGCTGTTTGGTAGTCCATTTCTTACACTAGTCTGTCAAGTAAAGACATTCCTTGTAAAAATCACTTCGGGCCTGAGCCCTTCTGAGGCAAAGTTTGTCTCACTGTTCTTTTCTTAGATACCAGCCCAGAAAATTAATCAGCAATTTTATCTGTCTGTTAATTTTATATGCCTAGATTATGTCCATTTTAACCTCCTTATTCTAGTCTTTCTTCATTGTGTAGTTGTAGTCACTACCTCCCTTAATCCCCCTTGTTGCACTGTAGCTCTGTATTACAACTTTTTTGATTTCTTCAACTGTCTTTCCACAGAGATTCAGTTTTCGTTGATCCCTCTGCTGTGGCTAATGCAGAAAACAGTATTATCTTTCTTTTTATTTCTGAGGCAAATACATTTATTTTTGGATGAATTTATAATGCTAATTTCCCTAAAGATTTCCTGAAAGAATAACAACAAGGGATGTAAAAAAATTAGAGATAAGAACCAATTGGATTAGCCTGTGCTTTTCCTCCTGCTTCACTTTTGTACAAGGAAGCTGTTCCTCCGAATTGGTCCTAGACGTTTCTACCAGTGGGACTGTGCAATCACTCAATAAATATGATCCTAACCTTAGTTTCCCACAGGAGAGTCTTCTTCAAGACCTAAAATCAGGGATATCTTATGTCTTATTCCCTTGAAATCTGAACCGGTTTTTCATGTGGACAAGGTATTTTTGCATATTGTTCCACCTTTTCTTCCCACAGTTACTACTTTGATCATTTAAACCAGGATGTAATAATTCATCTCAGAAAGTCTGTGGCATTATTATAAATCCCTTATTTTAATTTGCAGAGTATACTCACTGTACACTGTAAAAGGTAGAGCTTTTAGAACTGGGATTGTTTTTTGTTTTGTTTTTTGGTCTGTGGGAATGCTAGGTGGAAGCCTTGGGTTTTCAAAATACACACTGGCTAGAGGAGCATATAGGGCAGAAAAGAGGTGTGCTTAATACCGGAGCTCCAATAGCGTGTTGTCTGCTTCACAGGGTGGATCCAGGAGTCTTTGGATGAGATTTACAATTTTTAAAAAAATATTAAAGTACTATAGTGTAGGTTAGATATCTTTGTACAATATTTGCTGAAGCTTTGTGTAGATCAGGGGTCGGCAACCTTTCAGAAGTAGTGTGCCGCGTCTTCATTTATTCACTCTGATTTAAGGTTTCGCATGCCAGTAATACATTTTAACGTTTTTATAAGGTCTCTTTCTATAAGTCTATAATATATAACTAAACTATTATTGTATGTAAAGTAAATAAGGTTTTTAAAATGTTTAAGAAGCTTCATTTCAAATTAAATTAAAATGCAGAGTCCCCGGACTGGTGGCCAGGACCCCCGGGCAGTGTGAGTGCCACTGAAAATCAGCTCACATGCCGCCTTTGGCACGCGTGCCACAGGTTGCCTACCCCTGGTGTAGATGGTAGTCTTATGACTTTGGTGTTTCTTCAATAAACTTTTGGTTCTTGTGCTTTCCTGTTTTCCTTTGCAATGAGAGAAAGAATATGGCCCTATCGATCCTTTTACATCTAGACTGTGGATTTAAACTAACAGAGATTATGCTGTTTTTAACAAAAAACAAAGAAGAAGAAAAAAAACAGCTTCTGTGTCTCAGAAGTTTTTAAGTGTCAAGTTATCCTGATTATTTTTATAAAAATTTCATTTCTTTCCCTTTTGGATCATTCTGGTTTTAGATTTTGGCTACATCCACAAATTTCTTAAAATTTGAATGAGGATACAAGTAGAAAGAATTAAGTCACCAAGTTTCAGTTTTCTTGTTCACACTTGTAGTCTGACAAGTTGGAGCCAGGTAACCCATCAACTCTGGATTAAATAATGAAAACGTATGTTAGGAGTGAGAAACTACAGTATGAATGATCTTCTATCTCTCCAGGTTCTTTTATTGGCACCCATCCCAATCTCTGAGAGCCTCGTTAGTAATTGAGCACCTAACAATAAGTAGCCTATTAAAATGCTTAAAATACTTTCCCCGCTATAGTGTTATGAGAATGGTGTTTAATGCAAATTAATATCAGTATTATTTTGTAAATACATGATATTCCTGAATTTAAAAATGTGCGTATTACCACCACTTTCAGGGCTAAGACTAGAAGGAATCAAGGGTTTTGTTACTTTAAGACATACAGGAGAAATCAAATCTATAGTTTTATTTATGATACTGGAGATATAGTAGAGGAGACTGAATACTCTAAGCAAAATATGAATCAAGAAAAATCTGTATTTTGGAACTTCTCCCTTGTATTTTATATTGTCACATTTTATAGACTATTAATTACTGTAGCAATCAATCAGTGCCTTTGCTGATTCTGAACATTATCTGACCAAGTGGTAAAATGAACTGTCCTGAGCAGTACTAAACTTTCTCTACCTCTCTTTTGTACCTCTTTTTTTAGTACCACTACATTTTTTAATATAAATCTTTTAAAAACAGTGACAGCATTTAGTTCAAATTCTTCTCAGATTGCTTGTATAATGAAAAACCAAGCCATTTTCTGTTTTAGAAATACACCCTTAAAACAGCGTAATAGCCAGACTCCCTTTCCTTTCTTGGGCAGAGACATTTTACATACAATTTCTGTGCAGAGCAGTTTTTTCAGAAGAGATGTAAATCCCCCCCAAAAAGAAATGTATACTGGAAAGATCTTAAACTGCTGCATTGTGAGAAAAAGTGATATGCCAGGGAGAGGTTTCTTTTGGGAAAAGGTAGTGGGATAGAAAGCCTTTCACCTATAGGTCACTGATTCAAATCCAGTTTGTGTTATTAGGGCCTGAGCTTTGCCATTTCTGTGGGCTATGTGAGATGGTGTTCTCAGCCCTGGTTTTAGTGCACAGGTATTCACAAAATCTGCCCCAACCATGCAATGAGCTCTTCATGGAGCCTCATTGATTTTAGTGGTGATTTGCCTGGCTGGGGGTCTACTTTCGTGGAGCTCATTCCAGAGCTGTGACCATAACTGACACCCTTACCGTCAATCTCAGTAGAAATACAAGGGATTCAGTGAATTTTATGATTAACTCACATTTTCCCCTAGGGAGATGGTCCCTCCCTCCACAACAGAGTTGGGGGTGCATTGATTATTGATTAAGCAAAGGAAGCTTTTACTACTGCAGTCTGTGGTTTACATGTTCTGTAAATAAACAAAGGATATTGGTCAAAGGTGCTAACTGCTTGGTACCTTCCACAGGTAAAAATTGCTTTGAAAAAAAAATTCAGTATTGCTATAATTTACGGATATGTTGTATTTTTTATTGCAGGCTTGGCTTGGTGTGGATAAATATAGAGCAGCAGTAACTGAACTGCTATGAGCTAACTGGGCATCTGTCCAAAATATCATTAAAATATTGACATAGACTAATTTGGGTTTTTTTACTAATATTTTGTTAAGTGCTATTTAAACAGCTCTGCTACGATTGACCCACATACTCTAGTTTAAAAGTTGAGAATTGAGATAATAGTAGATCTGACACTTTTAGTACATGATGTTTTCTGCAATCGAGCAGTACATAGTTCAATATGTTAATTTCTGAGACTATTCGTAAAGAAAAAAAAAAAGCAACAAACCAAACCAGAGCAAACAACAAACAGATTTTCTATACTGAATACCTTTTGTTCATTCATTTTCCAGGTTAGCACTGTATGTATATGAATATCTGCTCCATGTAGGAGCACAGAAATCTGCCCAGACATTTTTATCAGAGGTACGTTTCCCATTGTTTTCTTCTCTTTCACAATTTTGATAGTGTATGCAAATAGAATAACTGTATATGGGTTTTTAAAAAAAGGAATAAAACAACACAGTGGATATCAGTTTATACTGATAAACTTGGATTTTTAAGTCTGTGCTAACCAGGTGTTCACCCATCTCTGGCACAAGGCATCCCCAACTTCGCAAAACAATTCACTGGTGTGATTTGTACCCCGTCCCTCCATGTCTTTCACCACATAAAGATCCCACTTGTTTTCTGTAACAAATGTGGCATTTAGGGAATACATAATTTTATTAGTATTTGCTTGGGATGACCTGTATAACTTACTCATGGTTTCACCACCTGTGGATAATGCAGCCATTCTAAACACATGGCAATGAAATGTTTTATACTATATTATATTTCCAGACTGTCCCTGTTGTATATACTCCATAGATAATGTTGACCAGCAATAGTCTCAGTACATATCCCTATGATACCAATTAACAACTTCTCATAATTTCAAGAAGCAATTATGTATTATAACTACTTGTGTCCTGTTGATTAACCAGTTTTAACACCTGATGGTACTTTTGCCTTTTACCCTATGTTAATTTTGTCTTCATAGTCTTTGTTAAAGGACTCTGTAAGTCTTTTGAAAATCCAAGTAAATTAGTTCTCAGAAACCTTTGTTTATGATAGGAAAAAATGACAAGTGTGTCAGAGATACTGAACTCCTTTTTAAAATCTCTCTTTAACAAGAATATTTAAGAAAATAAGTTGACAAGTGGGAAGTAAAGAAGAGCTTGGGAAAACAGCACTGAATAAAGAGCAGGCAAGGTAATAACTTGGAAAATTTCCACATCTCAAAATCAGTTGTCCCAGGTGGCACAGATTCAAATAGTAATAAATTTATTTTGCTACTGATGACTTTTTGAACAGTCCTGGACAACTGGCATGCCACTGGAAGACTGGAGAAAAGCAAATTTGTGGTAGAACTTTTTGTTTTTTTTAAAGTAAAGAGTGTTTCCAGCAGTTACCATCTGATATATCCAGTTTTTCTCTCTATTAAAGTAGGGGCAAAATAATTAAGAGAAAAATATAAAAAATTAATAGGATAATTTGTCTCAGCAAAAACAGCATTCATTTATAAGGAATAAATTTTGCAGGATAAAGCTTTGCTTATTTTGTTTTTAGGGTAGGTTTGCAAAGTGAGTAGATGAGGGGAACATTTTAGGTATGACATTTGAATTTTGGAAAAGCCTTCACTATGGTGTCTCCCAAAATCTTGCTGTCAAAATTAATTTAAATCTGAGAAGACAGAAGCACTGTAATATGGACTAATAGTGGCTGAATTATCATGAACAAGAGGCCGTGATAAATAGCAACATTGAATTGGTATGCGGTATCTACTAAATACTGCAAAGATCTGTGGACTTCATTTAACTTCTTCATTAATGGTGTAGAAGAAGGAGTAAACAGAACATTGATGGCATTTATAGAAGATACTATGTTGGGATAAATTACAATTATCATAAATTTTAAAATAATACAAAGTGACATAGAAAGATTAGAAATCTGGGCTGAAAATAATAAAATATGATTCATCTCGAAAACTGTACACTAATACATTTGGAGGGGAAATAATCCAAAACAGATAAATCAGTGGGGGAGAGAATCCTGGCAAGCAGAAATGATGAAAGAGATAAGAGAGTGATAGTGGATAGCAGATTAGATATGTGTTTGCAATGCAATATGGGTGCCAAAAGAAACAGTTCAGTTTTGTGGTGCACATGATGCATCTCTGTATCACAGATAACAAGATAGTCTTTTTTTTCCTATATAGGTTTGGTGCATCTGAATTGCTACATTCAGTTCTGAATATCTTGTTATGAGAATTATATTGGCGAATGAGAGGGCAATGAGAGAAGAGCAACAAAAATGAAGTCAGCTGGATGATTAATTTGTAAGGGAAGATGAAGACTTAGATTCTCCAGCATGCTTTGTCCTCTTTGTTTTGATCCATAGGTGCAATGGGACTACAAACCCATCAGACCAGGCCAAATTAAGATTCTTATGGTGTGGGGGATTTGCAGGTTACATAGTAGTAGGGTAACCAGATGTCCCGATTTTATAGGGACAGTCCCGATGGTTGGGGCTTTTTCTTATATAGGCTCCTATTTCCCCCCACCCCCGTCCCGATTTTTCACACTTGCTGTCTGGTCACCCTACATAGGAGGCACTCTTAAGCCACATTCTCTTCTGGTTCCAGTTTAGGAAGCAGGGCAAGAAGAAAGAGGCATGGCTAGAGCACCTATGTGTTCTAGCAGTTCTCAACTGAGCATAACAGTCCGTGGGGCTATTTAAGGCCAAAATAATTTAGAACAGTTCTGAGGTTGAGAATTTGGCCCTAAAAGAACTAAATATGTATAGCTTAGCTAAGCGATGACTAACAGTTTATACCTATTTGAAAAGTGTAAGCAACAAAGATCATTATTTAAAGTTGTACAAGAGTGTAACTATGAGTAATGGGACAAAATTAAGAAAGGGAAAATTTCAGATGGATATCAGGAAATCTGACATTGCAATCAATTAGTCTGTAAAATAATGTCCTAAGGAATTTTTTTTAAGCTTTCCCAGATTTTGTGATACTCTGTTTTTTAAATGAATTTTCTTAGAACTGAGATTCACAGTAGTCCTAGAATCCCCTTGGGTTCTGTCATAGTTACAGGGTGAGCTGCACTTTGGACCCTTTCATAGTCCCCTCTCAAGTGCACCCCTCAGGAGACAGGCTTTGCTTCCTTAACCTCTTTAAAGGGTGGAACTTTGGAGGTCAATCACTTTTAGATTGGATCTCTGCGTTGCAGCCCCCCTATTAATCAACTGTGGCTCCTCTAGCAGGGCTTGATTCCTGCAAGAGAATTTCCTTCAGGAGATGTGACCAACAATTGATAAAGTGACTCAAAACAGCTTTTCCAAAACCAACGTATTGTTTATTCACCAAAGGATGGTAACAAGTGAAGAAAACGGGTAAAACAGCAAACGACCTACACACCTGGGTCTTACCTATACCTTATCCTTTCCTTGCTAGTTTTGGTAACTTCCACCTAGCCCGGATAACCCGACATCTGGGCTGGTAGGGACAGGCTCCCCTGCAGCAGGTTCTCTTTCCCTTGTATCTGTCCCAGTGTTTTCCCCCAGCTGCTTTTCACTCACTCTCCATGCCCCTTCCTCTCTATGCAGGGCTTTTTTAACAGTTCAGTGTCTTTTCTCCTAGTCCTGGAAAAATTATCTGGCTGGTGACAGTAAGATAGGTATTTCCCTATTAATAGCCTGCTCATTGTTCTCTTAAGGACCCTTGATATTTTCCCTGAAGATATCTCTGGAATTGTTTCATTTCCTGCCTGCTCTTCCTAACAGACTCTTTAGATTTAAATCTATGCAGTCAGACAGATTAATATCCAGCAGGTAAACAGAAGAACATATAATATTCATAAAAAATAAGAGAGAGCTTATTCCACAGGCTCTTGTTTTGAAGATGCTGACTGGGGTGAAATGTACCCCTGTGAAGAGGGCCAGCACAAAGCCTAAGCACCAATTAAATCCCCCTCAAGCCATGTTTTGAAGGATTTAAGTAGTACATAGGCTTTATGTTGGCCCTCTGCACAGGTATGAATTTTACTCCAGATCAATGACTTTCCAGTCTTCATGAACAATTTTGGTGTTAAGTACATACTGCACATCTTTCTTAGTACATTACTTTATGTTTATTTTAGAACCCGTTGAAGAATCGCATCTGTTCCAGGTGATTTACTTAATTTTTCAAGTTATTCCCAATGGATGCATGTAGTCTTCTAGATTCCAGTGCATTTGAAGAGTTTTTAAAAAATTGTTTTTATACTTCTTGCTTTGCCTTTTATTCCAATTTACACTTTATCTGGTATAGTTTACGCAGGATTTCTATATTTGAAAGGATGCTTTTTATATCCCTAGCTATCGTTATTTATGTTTCCTCCTGAGCCCTGTGTAGTTAGTTCATAGTAACTGACTTTACCAGCAGAAGGATATAAAAAATAGTCCCAATAAATTAAAAAAAAACCCTATAAAATAGTTTTACTGTTAAGTAAGCAGCATTTACACAATACATCATAACATGGTAGAACAGATTTATTGGTGCTTGTTTGGGATGACCTTTGGCTGTGTGTATCCTCTTCTTGCCAGCTATATGCAGACCTTCTAGGTGTCTGATCAGCTGTTCTTGAAATTCCTTGAGAATTGGGCCTTGAAATTCAATGGGAGTTAGGTACCAAACTGTCTCAAACTTTTCTTCTGAAAAATCCAAGCTTTAACCATTGTCCATTTTATTAAGAATATTATTTTTATACATCACCACCTTTCATACCAAAGGACCCCCAAGCACTTCACAAAGTAGAACTCATTTCATTCACCACTGACATAGAATCGCTGCTACCTCTCTATCATAATGTTGCATGTTTAAACACCAATACTTCTCCATATTTTAGGACAGCAAGTAAATAATACTATATCCAACTGTAACTAGTGGAGGGATTTGTGATATCCCCTATGTCGTAGCTAAATTCCTATTTTTAGATATTCTCTTCTACCTAACAGCTGTACCTTTGTGAAAATTACTGTTGAATATTAGTTACCTCTAGCACTACTACAGTGCTCCTTACCACGCTGAAATACTGGTGCAATTTGGACCTGGAGGGAAGACTGCCACCTGCTGAGCCATTAGGATTACCCTTGGAGCATCTTGAGTTTTTCTTAAAATTCTCTGACTCATGTGCACTGTATACAATTTTTAGAGATATTTTTAAATGTATTACTTTTAATTTCTCTCTCATACCTGTACATTTGGGCTTAACTAAAACATCTAGTTTAAGGGCAGAGGGATACAAAATGTAGTACCAATAAAAATTTTAAAAACACTGTAAAACATTTCTAAAACAGGTTTTCTGCAAAATATGTGACAAGTGCTGAGTACATGGTGGTACGATGTGTTAAGTTATGTGGTCATCCCAAATTCATGATGATAAATATTTTTCTAACTGCACAATCATCTATTATCTCTTTCCTATCTGGTTGATTAGTTAATGTATCTTGTTCAGACTGAGTGGAAAAGCATAAAATACTTGATTTTTATTCCTTTCAGATAAGATGGGAAAAAAACATCACATTGGGGGAGCCCCCAGGATTCTTGCACTCTTGGTGGTGGTAAGTGTTAATAATTTTCTTTCCTTCCAATTAAAGTAGGTTGAGAATGGAGTCGAATGGCTAGGCTTAAAATTGGAGCAAAAAGAACAGTAAAATACCAAATATTCATCCTTGTTTTAAGCTGAAAAATTCTTTTTTATTAAACTTTTTGAGGCATGAAAGAAATTCAGGTGAATTTTGTACAAATTATACTGAGTTCATCAAGAATAATTGGTGTAGAAAACAATGAAAGAAGCTAATAATAACAATGGAGTCTCCTAAAAAACATACCCAAGAGGCATAGCCATATCGTTTTAGATTTCATTTATTTCCCCTATTTTTTTTCTAAGAAAAGACGCAGTTCCATGTTGAAGTCCTTAGCCTGTGGTATTCGTCACTCCAGTTGTTTCTCCAAAACTTTCTTTTCCTAGGGCAAAAGTGTGTATTACGAAGTTGACAGTGTTAGCACATCATATTAGAACTGGAACAGGTTTCAATACTTTGTTTGCAGTGAGTCTTGCAGTAAATAATGCATTTAAAAATAAGTTTTCATATGGGAAAAAATTGAGTTAAGAATACAAGCAGTGATGATAAACTGTATACTGTCATTGGAAAATGACATAAAATACACTATCCACATTACTGCCTGTGGCCCAAATTCACTATAGCACTTAAGTACATACTTAACTTGAAGCATGTGCTTAAGTCTCATTGAAGTTGAAATATGACTTAAACGTGTTCTTAAGTGCTTTGCTAAATAGGACTGGACTTAAGCCAGTGTCAGAGGGTTACTGAACTGGTTTGCTATGACTAGGCCTGATTAGGGGTCAGGAGCTATATAAGGAGTCTGGGGAGCCAGGAGAGAGGAGAGACAGGTCAGAAATATGGGAGACATGGATGGTGGCGACTCCAGAGCCATAGGAAGAGCTAGGGAGTCCGCCTGTGGCTATCATCCTATATAAGGGGCAGGGATCTGGAAGAAAACGAGGTTGAAGGAAGTCAGTGGCCTCCAGAGTGGGAGAGGGGGCATTTCCTGCCAATGTTTATGAGTGCAGGGGTGAAGGAAGGCCATGGAGAGAGGCTTTGTGGCCACTGTCCCGTACAAGGAGCAGGGACTGGGAAAGAACCCAGGAAGGATATGAGACTTTCATTAAGCCCAAAGTGGGCGGATGTTGTTTATGTTATTGCTTCATTTTAACCTTTGAACTTTACTGGGGATGATGGGAATAAACCAAGAACCCTCCATTTGAAGGAAGATTAGGGACTGAAGAAGATTTTAGAGTGACAAAAGACAGCAGAAGCAGAGTTGTTTTGAATTATGATATGGGACTTTAGTTTATATCTTTGAGACATGTATAATAATAAATTACCTTGGGACAAGCCTATCAACCCGAGAGAGTGTTGGAGTGTTTGAAGGGACTCTGAATGGGGTGAAACTGATGCTGGGCATCTGTAGGGTACCTTCATGCCACCAGGAGGCACTCAAGGAGGGCCTCGCTTGTTAAACTCACACTTAAAGTTTTCCACAACTTGAATTGGGGCCTTTAACATCTACAGCTGATATCCACATGGTCAAATCAATGAGTGCACTCATGCTCATTTGGAAGAATTCTATGGTGTTGGCTTACAAAGTAGTTTACTAACATCAACAGGGTAAGCTAAAGAATTATTTATATGGACAGCATAAAAAACTCTGCAAATCCCATCTCTTCTTCAGATAGCCCATTATCTCTGACAAGTATACATGAGTGCCTTATACTTTTTCACAATGATCACACTTACTTACATGTATCTATGTGTCTGCGTGTATATATAGTATCCCAAAGTTTACTATTGGAACAGTGGATTAAAACGTAATTCATAGGAACTGCTGTTTAGCCAAGCTGAATTGTATCTATATGGAGATTCCAGACACATCTGATATGTACATATATACTCTATGAATGGATAATCAAGATGATTACTGACAACAAAGGCTGCAGTTACAGATGACATAGTAGTTCCACCTGGCCCCAGGAAAGTATGCAATAAGTACACAACTGTGCAAAGTGGCATAATCACTACCAAATGTTTTTTTTTTTTTTTTTTTTTTTTTTTTTTTTTAGAGTTCTGTATCTGAAATTCTGTAAGGAAACTTTGCTCCTTATGTCTTCCTGACCTCTGTGTTCACCTTTAATAGTGATTGCCTGCAGTGAAATTGTCAGTAGACCAATTAAAGTTTTCCTAAATTATGAACTATGGCATGATGACCAAAAGATAAATCTAAGGAATTAAACTGGGTCTCTCCTATTATAGGTCTGGCTTGACATGAGTAGTTGGCTATGGGTAAGGGCTCATTTCTTGGGAGACAGAATTAGGGAGGTAAATGGGTCAATAAGCTAAAAGACAGCTAAGGTAAGGGTTACCCAGGGAACCATTTACAACAGACAAAATAAGCTGAAACATAAAACAGTGTAACTTCGGATGTGTGGTACACCCTATACCCACCTCCTATGCTTGAGTTGGATCAACGCAGCGTAACATTGTTGTATGCCAAATAAAGGAACCCAAGTAATGAGACTGGAGTTGAACTGAGTTCTAGGGGAACCAATTGAAAGAGGTCTGAGATCAGCCAAATAAAACTCAATTTTGATTTTATTCTTTAAAGTGATTTAGTAAATAGCAGATCTTTTGATTCCAGGGACTTTGAGACTGCAATGATAAAATACCTCAAACATTATATGTAAACATTATTTATTTTATTCAGTTAATAAAGCTGGCTAAATCCTGTTAAAAACAGTTCAGAGGGAGAAGTATATAAACTCTGTTTTAACACTGTTTTTAAACACTGCTCCATTCCAAAGTGTAAAAAGGGCCTGATAAAGGCATCACAATTTCCCCCCACTATTTTTAAACCAAGACGTATATCATGGTATTCTTTCCCACTTCTTACATTTACCCATATATATACTGCTTTATTGTCTTTTGGTTAAGGCACAGTACAGCGACTTAGAAGATCTAAGTACTATCCCCGTTTTTCCCCCCACTGTCTTACTGTGTGACTTTGGACAAGTCTCAGCCTCTTTGTGCCCTGTGTAGTGTTTTGTGGAAGTAAATGTAGGCACACACAAGATATGAGGTTAATATAGAGTTCCAACCATTGCTCCATATTCTAACAGTTTGTGCACTAAACTAACTTGCAGCAGTGCTGATATTCTTGGACTAAACTATAGTGGTCTTAATGGGGGACATCATTACATCCTCAGAGAATCAGAAGATAGTTTTTTCTTACCTTACAGGGCCATCATCAGGCTTAATTCATTAATATTGTGATACAGGAGGGCCAGGGAGCAGTGGCAGAGTGCTAGAGGGGAAATATATAAACCCAAGGCTAATTAAGGCCTGGTTCCCTGGAGACTAGGGAGGGTGGCTACAGGTTAATTGGAGCACCTGCAGTCAATTAAGGCCCTGTCAGGAACCTAATAAAACCCCCTGCTTCAGGCAATCAGAGAGAAGGAGGAAGGAGAGAGGACTGGAGCTTGGAGGTGTGCTGTGAGACTTGAAAGATCAGAGAACCGAAGTAAGGGAGACCCTGCCCCAGCAAGGGAAGGAGATTCCCTTCCCCAGCATCTAAGGACTGAAGGTACCCCGCCCAAGGGGGAAGAGGGTAAGAACCCACAGGGGTTGAGAGGGGCTGGGGCTCAGAGTGAGGAGCAAACCCAGACCCTTCCCCTGCTTCCCTTCTTTACCACCTTCCCGGGCCACTAGTGGGGCCCTCGGCGCCCCAAGAGCAGGGGCAAGGGGTGGCATCCTAGCCCCCGCCAAGAAAAGCTTGGGACCCACCATACTAACATCGACCATCTTGTCACACATGGTGTCAGGAGTGGGATTATTGCGCTGCGAACATAATCCAGGGTGGGTCACGACCACCCTGCCCGAAGATGGAGGATGTGGTCGAAGCACTGGTGCAAGCCACTGCTGCCCAGCAGGAGGCTACCTGGGTCCAGGCAGTTGCCCAACAGGAGGCCATGCGGCTGCAGCAAGAGGCCAATCACCTGCTGATGACCCAGACCACCCAAGATTGGGCCATGCTGCAGGAACTAGTGAACAAGGTGAAGGCCCTTACGGAGCTGAGCCGCGGCTATGATGGGACACGGACCATACGGGCCAGCTACTGTCTGCAGAAAATGACCCGGGAGGATGGTGTGGAGGCGTACCTCCTGGCCTTTGAGAGGACAGCCCTGCGGGAGGCCTGGCCTTGAGACCAATGGTCGGGCATCGTTGCCCCATTTTTTTTGCAGGGAGGCCCAGAAGGCCTACTATGATATGACCGCAGAGGAGGCGGCAGATTACCCCCGACTGAAGGCAGAGATCCTGGCCAGGGCAGAGGTAACGACAGCCTTGCGAGCCCGGAGGTTCCATGAATGGCAGTACTGTGAAGATAAGACACCGCAATCACTACTATTTCACCTAATCCACCTAGCCCAGAAGTGGTTACGCCCGGAGGCTCTCAGCTCGGAGAAAATGATGGAGCTCCTGGTGCTGGACCACTATACGAGGGGACTACCTTCGGGCCTCCGAGCCTGGGTAGGCCAGAATGACCCCTCCAACTATGATGAACTGGTCACCCTTGTAGAGAGACAACTGGCAGCCCGTGAATTGTTCGAAAGCCCGGGAGGTGAAACACGGCGTTTCAGGAAACCAGTCCCGACCCTGAGGCCCCGGATCATCGGGAACTCCAGGAAGGCCATTGCTGGAAGAACAGGCACCAAGGAGTGGCCTGAGGCCCCAAAAGGACCTGAGGGTCTGGGGGGAGAGGGTTGGGGGAGCGAGTCAGAGGGCCCAGGACAGAGGGCAACCTCCGGAATGAGATATCACTGTTACGGGTGTGGGGAGTTGGGGCATATAGCAGCTCAGTGCCCCAACAGGGAGGAACCCATGCAGTGTAATCTGGGGAATCCCGGGGACCAATGTGGCCTAATCAGCCTGGTGGGGGTCGTGATGGCCCCACATGAGTACACCAGGACGGTAAAGATGAACGGCATCCAGACCATAGCTTTGGTGGACTCTGGGAGTGCTGTCACATTGGTCTCAGGGAAGTTAGTGGGGCAAGAGCACTGGAGTGACATATGTCCACGGCACAGTAAATTTCTACCCAACAATTCCAATATGGATTGAGATCCAGGGAAACATTACCAAGATGACTGCAGGGATGGTCCCCAAGCTCCCCTACCTAGTCTTAATTGGCAGGGACTTCCGTGGGTTTGAGAGCCTACTCCCCGCCCCCTCTCCCCCATTGAGTTAGGGGAGGGATATAAACCCCAAGCAGAGTTTGAGGTGCCCATGGATGACCCTACCACAATTTTTGCTGGGTTTTCCCCAGAGTTATTTTCACCCCCTAGGAAGTCCCAGAAATCCAGACGAGAAAGGAGGGCAGACAAAAGATTAGGAACCAGGATTTTGGTGGCAAACCGGAGAGCTGCCCTGGTTGGGACAAGGCCCCGTGGAGACCCAGAGACGGCCCTCAGCACAAGCACCCCAAGAGAAGGAGGGGAGCCCAATCCAATAGAATCAGGCCAGATAGGTCCCACACGCGAATGTTTTGGGCACGACCAAGCCAATGACCCACTGTATGCGAACCTGAGGGAGGAGGTAGTAGAGGTAAATGGCGTGCCAGTAGAAGGGAAAACCAAAGGCCCAGGGCCATACTATATAATCAAGCAGGATATGTTGTATTGGGTAGTGCCAATACGGGGGGAAGTAGTAGAGCAGCTCTTGGTGCCATGGAGGCACACAAGGGCCGTATTAGAGTTAGCTCACAGTCATCAGTTCGGGGAACATTTAGGAGCAGACAGGACCCTGGATAGAGTCCTAAGGAGGTTCTACTGGCTGGGGGTACAGGCAGAAGTCCAGCTCTATTGTGCCTCCTGCCCAGAGTGCCAGCTGCATAGCCCCCGATCTCAGTCAAGGGCTCCGTTGGTACCCTTTCCTATAATTGAAGTTCCTTTTGAAAGGATAGCAATGGGTCTAGTGGGCCCATTAGAAAGAATGGCCTGCGGCTACTGAAGCATACTCGTCATCCTGGACTACGCTACATGGTACCCCGAAGCCATTCCTTTAAGAAACCCCACGTCCAAGGCGATCGCAAAAGAACCGGTGCAGGTTTTTGCTAGGGAAGGCATCCTGAAGGAGATCCTGACAGACCAAGGGACTCCCTTCATGTCAAGAGTAATGCAAGACTTATGTACCCTGCTCTGCATCCAAGCCTTGTGGACCTCGGTCTATCATCCGCAAACAGATGGTCTGGTTGAGCGATTTAACTGCACTCTTAAGAGCATGATCCGAAAGGTGGTGGCCCAAGGTGGAAAAAGACTGGGATACTCTCCTACCATACCTGATGTTTGCAATACGAGAAGTTCCCCAAGCATCTACTGGTTTCTCCCCCTTTGAGCTACTGTATGGACGCCACCCACGTGGCATATTTGACATTGTGAAGGAGGAATGGGAGGAACAGCGCAATCCGGGGAAGAATGTCATTGCACACATAGCCCAGATGAGAGAACGAATAGCCCAAGTGACCCCCATAGTACGAGAGCATTTGGAGAAAGCACAAGAGGCCCAACGAACCTACTACAATCGTCAGGCAAAAACATGGAAATTTCAACCAGGCAACGGGTGCTGGTGCTGGTACCAGCAACAGAAAGTTGGCGTGGATCCTATGAGATCATGGAAGCCGTTGGGGAGGTGAATTATAAGGTGAAGCAGCCAGACCATCAAAGACCAGAGCAGATATACCACGTCAACTTACTGAAACCCTGGCTCGATCATGAGACGTGCCTGGCCGTCCTGCTGGCTCCATCCCAGGCAGATGGCCCACAAGGGCAAGTAAAGATATCCCCCGAAGTAGCCCCAGAACAATGAACAGAGGTCGTCGAAATGATCCAGCGGAACCAAGACGTGTTCTCCACACAACTAGGCTGTACGACGCTGATTCAACACCACATCATCACCTGTCCCGGAGCAAGGGTGATGATAAAACCATATCGCATACCAGAGGCAAAAAGAGAAGAAATTAGGGCAGAAGTAAGGAAGATATTGGAACTTGGGGTGATTGAGGAATCACACAGCCAGTGGTCCAGCTCTATCATCTTGGTCTCCAAGCCTGATGGCAGCCTGAGGTTTTGTAATGACTTCCGGAAGTTAAATGAGGTATCCCAATTCGATGCCTACCCAATACCACGTATTGATGAGCTGGTGGATCAGTTAGGCAATGCCCGATACTTGACCACCTTGGACTTGACAAAAGGCTACTGGCAGATCCTTCTGGCTGAGGATGCCAAGGAAAAAAATGCTTTCTCTACACCTGATGGCCTTTTCCAATATACCGTCCTCCCTTTTGGGCTCCATGGGGCCCCCGTGACTTTCCAACGATTGATGGACAAATTACTTTGACCCATGCCAAGTATGCTGCTGCCTATTTAGATGATGTGGTGATCCATAGCCCTGACTGGGAGACGCACCTGGGGAAAGTGGAAGCGGTACCAGATATTCTTAGACAGGCTGGCCTCACCACTAACCCATCCAAATGTGCAATAGGGTTAGCCGAGGCCAGATACCTCGGGTATGTAGTCGGAAGGGGCCTGGTGAAGTCCCAATGGAACAAAGTGGAGGCAATAAAGGAATGGCCTCGCCCGATCCGCAAGAAGCAAGTCAGAGCATTCTTAGGGATAGTGGGGTAGTATCGCCGGTTCATCCCTCACTTCGCCACAAGGGCAGCACCTCTGACGGACCTGATGAGAGCTCGGGACCCGGAGATAGTTAAGTGGACCGAGGCGGCAGAAGAAGCTTTCACAGATCTAAGGACGGCCCTTTGCAACCATCCAGTGCTCATAGCCCCGGATTTCAAAAAGGAATTCATCCTACAAACAGATGCCTCGGAGGTAGGACTTGGGGCCGTCCTTTCACAGATGGTGGGGGATGAGGAGCATCCAATCCTTTACCTAAGCTGAAAGCTCCTGTCCGGGGAGCAACAGTACACCGTAGTAGAAAAGGAATGCTTACCAGTTAAATGGGCCATGGAGATTCTAGGATACTATCTGCTTGGGTGGCGGTTCACCCTTGTGACAGACCATGCCCCACTCCAGTGGATGCACACAAACAAGGAGAGGAATGCACGAGTGACTAGATGGTTTCTATCCCTACAACCTTTCCATTTCCGGATACAGCTTAAAGCCGGAAACCAACATGGCAACGTGGACAGCCTGTCACGACAGCACTGTCTCTTGTCCCAAGTAGCCCAACCCCGTGGTGTTGAGCGGGGGAGGCATGTGATACAGGAGGGCCAGGGAGCAGTGGCAGAGTGCTAGAGGGGAAATATATAAACCCAAGGCTAATTAAGGCGTGGTTCCCTGGAGACTAGGGAGGGTGGCTACAGGTTAATTGGAGCACCTGCAGTCAATTAAGGCCCTGTCAGGAACCTAATAAAACCCCCTGCTTCAGACAGTCAGAGAGAAGGAGGAAGGAGAGAGGACTGGAGCTTGGAGGTGTGCTGTGAGACTTGAAAGATCAGAGAACCGAAGTAAGGGAGACCCTGCCCCAGCAGGGGAAGGAGATTCCCTTTCCCAGCATCTAAGGACCAAAGGTACCCCGCCCAAGGGGGAAGAGCGTAAGACCCCGCAGGGGTTGAGAGGGGCTGGGGCTCAGAGTGAGGAGCAAACCCAGAC